TGGAGAGCATTAGCATAGTATTGTTATATTAAGTGTAATATAAGCTAATATACACCCCTGTGGGAAGGGGAGTTGAGGCTTCCATATAATCCTCTGCTTATGTACATTGGTATTTCATGAAATATAGTAAGATAAAGTGTTCTGATTTCCTCTAATAGTATAAAATGTACTTCCTGATTAAGAACTGAATGTGCTGTGATAACTGCAGCAAGCAAAAAGTAGTGCTGTGACAACCGCAAATCAGAATTTCAGTGTTCCTGTACACTTACATGTTTTAAATCAGTGCTGTTTTTAATGCCATTGCACTAAGTTCTTGGTGTTATACTACATGGTGATTATCCAGATCAGGAAAACTGGATTTAATAAATGGTTTTGAAACTAACACTTTGTGTAAAATTTTAACTAATGTTGTCATTGACTTGCATTCAGGTAACTCTTTGGATTTTCATGTTTAAGTTATTTTTATATATATATATTAAAGTCTCCAGTGTTAAAGTGCTTTAAACATAACTTGGAGAAATTTTGTAGCTAGTGTGTGCAGTCCCAATTTTCAGAAGGTTTTTAAAATTATTAATGTTCACTGTATGCATGATATTAAATGTATACAGCACCCCAATTTAGTCTTTTACTCCTGCTTTTTAAAACTTCAGATTGTTCCACTAGAGTTTTCTCCACTAATTTCTGGTCTAATACCTATAAAGCTATTCAGTTTTAATTCTAAAGTGTGTTTCTCTTGTTTCTTCTAGCTTTTACAAAACTGATCACAGTAAATGGGCAAGAATATCATCTTCAGCTAGTAGACACAGCTGGTCAAGTAAGTGATCTTTATCTGAACAAATCCTTCAGAATGAAGGCTATGTATGTACTGAAGTTGGCATTGTCCTGTGTTAAGCAAAACACCACAACTGACACTTGAATAAAGAGGGTTTGAAGGCCTTTATATTTTACTTACAGCATTAAACTAGCTTAATTTGCTAATTTAGCAGTGAATGAATTAACTTCCAACTTTGAAAGTGTTACTGTTGAGTAGTTTTGTCCCCTGAAATTAGTAGAAATGTATTCCGATTATTTGGGGTTAATAGGGGCTCTTGACATTTGGCAGTGTGTAGTTTCTTACTGGTGCTTGAAAAGTGAATTTGGCTACAGTGGAACAAAATGAAAACAAGTTACATCCATGAGGTATAGTATAATGTAATGTGCTAGTCATGCCTCTTAGCACTCTCATTTGAGTTCATTTAATACATAAGGGCTAACCAGATTATTGCAGACTCTAAGAACCAGCAGTCACAGGCACTAGACTGACTGAATGAAGGTGGGCGTGACTTTATTTGTAAACTGTTATGATAGTCAGTGACATTGATACTTCTGTTGTGCTCATAAATTAATGCCTAGTGGGCATAAACAAATATGCAACTAAAGATGGAATTTAACAATTTAGTACATCAGAGAAGAGGTGGGTTGTGGTACACACTGCTTTGAAGCTGTAGGGAATATTGCAGGAGTTTTTTAACATAAATGACCTATGACACCATCATTTGGCTTGATGTTAGGAGCTCTACAAAATTTTAGCTTCCATAAAGAAGTGTGTGTGTGTGTGTGTGTGTGTGTGTGTGCGCGCGCGCGCATGATTCTAATATAATCGCATGGTCTTGTTTGTATAGGTGTTCGTGATTTGGTATTTTTAAGGATTTTTAAATTGAGGGCAAGATTATGGAGAATCTGCCCTTTGCCTTTTATTAGTGCCCATTGTGGCGATGCCACACTGTCACTCGTAGTTCTGTCATTCCTGTGTGGTAGGGTTTAAAGCGGCATGAAAAGTATTAGACAGTTTTGGAATGTTAAATTCCAGCTACGGGTGCTTCATCATGAAATAGGTCCCAGTGGTAAGAGTGTCTCTATATAGAACCAGCCCCTGTTAGTAAGTTAACCATTAACATTCCTGGTAAACCTTAATGGGTGAGGCTTACTGGTTATGGTTCACTGGTGTGGGCTGGAGCTGGCCGTTCCCTCCCCATCCTGTTTGTTTAAAATATGCTTCTTTCCATACCTATTTTTGTGAAACCATCCCTTTACTGGAAAGACCATCACTGTGTGTGCAGAGAAGTTCCATTTGCAATTCTCACCCAATGATCCTAATGACAGGTGCCTCTCTGCTAAGGTGGGAGCATGTTTGTACACTTGTATGATTCAGGGCAAACGGAAGTTACAAGAGGCAGTGCTACACATCAGTTGCCTAAAACTTAAGAGCAGTCAGACATGATGGTCTTCCACTAATCAGGACAAACACTTAAAGATTGTGACAAACAGTATCCTCATATTTGTTGTATATCGACTGTCCAAGAGGAGCAAGATCTCTCTCCCCCTGTGTTGAGGCAGTCAGGCTGTGGAAGTAGTGCGTACAACCAGATCACTATTATAGTGACCTAGGATTGAGACTGAAGCAAAATGCAGGACAATGTAGCACTTCAAAGACTAACAAGATGGTTTATTAGAAGATGAGCTTTCGTGGGCCAGACCCACTTCCTCAGATCAAATAGTGGAAGAAAATAGTCACAACCATATATACCAAAGGATACAATTAAAAAAAATGAACACATATGAAAAGGACAAATCACATTTCAGAACAGAAGGGGGATGCAGGGGTGGGGGGGGGAGGAAGGAAGGTAAGTGTCTGTGAATTGATATTAGAGGTGGGGAGAGTGGGACGTCTGTGAGCTAATGGTATTAGAGGTGATAATTGGGGAAGCTAATACCATTAGCTCACAGACGTCCCACTCTCCCCACCTCTAATATCAATTCACAGACACTTACCTTCCTTCCTCCCGCTTTTTTATTTCTCCGGGTGGGTAGTTGAGGTTGATAAATGCTTGGTAGAGATCCTGAAGCTTCTGGTCTCTGTCAGTGGGTCCCTGCATCCTCCTTCTGTTCTGAAATGTGATTTGTCCTTTTCATATGTGTTCATATTTTTTAATTGTATCTTTTGGTATATATGGTTGTGACTATTTTCTTCCACTATTTGATCTGAGGAAGTGGGTCTGGCCCACGAAAGCTCATCATCTAATAAACCATCTTGTTAGTCTTTAAAGTGCTACATTGTCCTGCATTTTGCTTCAGCTACCCCAGACTAACACGGCTACATTTCTATCACTATTCTAGGATTGAGACTGACTGACTGCAGATTCACTTAGCAGACACTTCTTCCAAGAACATGAGTCAAATTAGGGATGTTAATGGGTATATGCTGATTATTGAGCTCTGTAATGTTGCTACTAGGGCATCTCTATTCATAGACATACTAGGGGAAAATACAGCATAGATGGAGCTACTACAGGTGGGTGCATAACTGGCTGGAAAACTGTTCCCTGAGAACAGTGCTTCACAGTCCAGCTGGCAGAGCATATCAAGTGCAGTTCCATGAAGATCAGCTCTGATAAATATTTTCATCAATGTAGGCAATGGCAGAGGAAGGTAGGCATGTTAGAAATCATTCATTTTAGTAATTGTGTTGACGCAACAATTCTTAGCAGTTACATGGTTACTAAAATGCTTCCTCCCCCCCACGGGGGCAAGGGGCATGGCCAGCAGCCAGTGCACTTCTGGGGATCCTCCGCCACCCTGCACTGCTGCTTCTCTGTAAGAGGTAGCAGTCCAGGGTGGCAGGTAGTTTAAATAGGCTCCCAGTGTAATCCACACACATAGTATGGTTACTGAGCAATGCAAGTGGTACCTGCACCATAGCAACTGCTAAGACCAAAAGACCTCTACAGCATGGGCTGGGAGCCAGCTAGCTTTTAGCTCAGAGGGTAGAGGCTCCTATACTCTGCTTCAGAGGTCCCAAGTTCAAATCCGCCTGGTGGTGGTTACAAGTGGGGTCTTGTCCGGAATCTCAACTGTGTCTCAGAAGCTCGGGACCCGCTTCCTCACCTAGGGGAAGTATGTAACACTAGTGTGGTTACTGAGCAATGCAAGTGGTACTTAGACCACAGCAACAGCTAACACCAAGAGACCTCTACAGCATGGGCTGGAAACCAGCTGGCTTTAAGCTCAGAGGGTAGAGGCTCCTATACTCTGCTTCAGAGGTCCCAAGTTCAAATCCGCCTGGTGGTGGTTACACCAGCACGGACCACCTGCCACCCTGCGCTACTGCCTCTGTATCCGATGCAGCAGCATGGGATTGCAGGTGGCTTCCCTGCTGGTTCGAGTTTTAAATACAGAGCATTTAGGGGGAGGGGAGAGGTCATAGTTAATAGGGGCCATTACCCAGTAAATTATTCCTTGTTGGTTAATGGTCCTGGTTAACTGCAGACATCCCTATAAGAAGGTACACTTATACAAGTTCCAGATACGAAGCTGAGTGGATTTGTGAGTGCTGTGGAACATGGGATTAAAGTTCAAAATTATCTGGACAAACGGTCTGAAGTAAACAGGATGAAGATCAATAAGGGGAAGACATACAAAATGGAAAATGACGGTCTTATGAAGGAATGCTATGGAAAGATCTAGGGATCATACTTAGCTTATGATCCCCTATGAATCAACAGTGGGATGCTTGCAAAAAAAATAAAAAAAGCAACCATCATTTCAGGCTGTATTAACAGGAATGTTATAATCAAAACACGAGAAGTAAGTCTTCATTCTACTTTGTGCTGATTAGGCCTCAACTGGAATATTGTGTGCAATTTTGGGTGCCCCCTTTCCAGAAAGATGTGAACAAATTGAAGCAAGTCCAGAGAAGAGCAAGAGAAATGATGAAAGGTCTAAAACACATGACCTATGAGGGAAGTTTGAAATAACTGAGTTTAAGTTGGAGAAAAGGCCGAGCGGTGACACGTTTTCAAGAACATAAGTTTTTACAAAGAGGAGGGAGAAAAGTTGTTCTTGACTGACTTTTCATGTCTTGCTTTGTCCTATCCTCAGTAGTTTTCATTCTCTGTGCCATATGAAGAGAGATTAAAAATACTTGGACTTTTCAGCTTGGAAAAAAGAAGACTAAGGGGGATATGATAGAGATCTATAAAATCATGACTGGTGTGGAAAAAGTGAATAAGGAAAAGTTATTTACTTTACTTTAATATAAGAACTAGGAGTCAACAAATGAAATTAATAGGCAGCAGGTTTAAAACAAGCAAAAGGAAGTTTTTCTTTACTCAGTACACAGTCAGTCTGTGGACCTCCTTGCTAGAGGATGTGGTGAAGGCTAGGACTTGAATAGGCTTCAATAAAAGAGCTAAATTAATGGAGGTTAGGACCATCAATGGCTATTAGCCAGGATGGGTAGGAATGCTGTCCCTAGTCTCTGCTTGTCTGGAAATGGGTGACAGGAGAGGGATTATGTGAGGATTACCTGTTGTGTTCCCTTCCTCTGGGGGCATCTGGTATTGGCCACTGTTGGCAAACAGGATATTGGGCTAGATAAACCGTTGGTCTGACCCAGTATGGCTGGTCTTATGACAAGAAGCAGTGGGTTGAAATAGCAATGAGGATAGTTTAGGTTGGGCGCTAGGAAGTTTTTCCTGACTGTCAGGGTAATTAAGCACTGGAATAAATTGCCTAGGGAGGCTATGGAATTTTTCTAACCTGATTTTAAAAGTATCCAATGACACACACCTATCAGGAATAGTCTAACAGCCCTACTTGAGAACCACTGGTTTAGAGTTCAGCCAGCTAACGCTTATTGGTTAATGGTTCCGGTTAAACTCCTCTTGCTTCCAGGGAGGTGACTTTGCTACAGCAGGGCAGCAAAACCACCTCTCCGGGAGCCAGGCGGGCAAGGGCTACTGTGTCTGCTCCCAGGCAGGAGGCTTTGCTGTGGGCTCTGCGATTTATACCGCAGCGCATGTAGCATGTGTAACCACAGACTTTTAGTGGCTACACGGTTACCATATTAAATGCTTTTTAACATCCCTGTTTTCAACCTGTTTTTCTTGCTGCCCAGTCAGCATATAGCTGCTGCCAAGGTGATGCCCTTAGAGCCATTCAGGTGAGGTTTGCATGTAATGTGTCAGTGACCCATGTAACACACGGGGCACACATGCAGCTCTAGAGCTAACTAGGTTGAGAACCATTTGGGGTCCCTTCCAGTCCTACAATTCGTGTGTGTGTATATTCACTCCTTCACCTTAAAGGGCAGTGCTCCAGTAGTCACCTGCAGTGGCACACCCATAGGGACACTACTTCAAGGGGAAATGATTATTCACCCTTTTCACCCTGTGCAGTAACTGGTTCTTTAAGATCCCCTTATGGATGCTCCTCTACCTGTCCTTTCCCTCTGTTTGAGTTCTCTGCTATGACTTTGTGGTAGTGAAGGAACTGAGGGCACATTGCTATATAATAGATTGGGGCATGATGCTGACTAACATGCCATGCATGGGCCCAAACGGACACTGCTATGATAAATTTCCAGTCAAAGGCACAGGGAGCATTAGTGAACCTAGACTGTCGGACCATAGGGACAAGGGATGTGAAAGCTTAAATGGTAAGCATTAAGGGTGATGTTTATTGGTTCTGGTTAACTGGTGGGGGCTGAAGCAGCTCCCCACCTGCCGCAGACAGGGTGTTCTTGCAATATAGTCAGTGTTTAAAACTGCTAGTTATCTACTGTAACTAGATTCTGATTCTTCTAGCAATAATTGTTTTTAAAAATACCATTTTCCTTCCACAGGATGAATACTCCATATTTCCTCAGACATACTCCATAGACATTAATGGATACATTCTTGTTTATTCAGTCACATCAATAAAAAGGTAATAGTTCTTCTTGTGTATGTTCTTGTGGGCAAGCTGCTGGTCTGACACTCGTGTGGCTTCAATCCCTGTCTCTGCCACAGACTCCCTGTATGCCCTTGTACAGTTCTTTAATCTCTATCTCATTTCCCATCAGTAAAATGGGAATAACAAGTCTTCTCACAATAGCATTTAATCTTTACTGTATCTCTGCAACTTGAAAAACTACAGTCTTTGGGGGCAAGTAAAGATAGAATCCATGTTAAACTGTATTGGTTATGAGTTTGTGTAAAAAGATGATCAAGCTTAAGTATTCCTAGTGTTCCCCATTGTGCTGTCTGAGTACAGGGGCATTAATAAATTGAAACATGACCAAGAATAGTTACAGCACTGAACTTAGGTCAGAAATCATCTGGTGAACAAAGAACCTTATTGGTTCTCTTATCTTAGCCTTGAACTTAGGTTGTCTACAACAGCTTGTTTTGGCGTAGGTTATGGCACTCAGGTTTATGCTACAGGGAAAGGTTGAGTTAAGATAAACATCTCCAGCCACAAGGCGTGTTGCCTTATCCCTCTGAAAAAGATCCTGTGTGCTTCTTTTAAGCATAACACTGCTTTTGTGTCTCCTTGTCTCTCTCCCTTCCCCAGCTAGCCTGCTCTTGCTCCCACAGTCTCCCTCCAGCTTCCGCTCCCCACATCCCCCCCCTTTTCCTCCCTGTGACACCTCCTCAGTTTCCCTCCATTGCACCCCTGGTCTCTTCTGCCCCATAAGTCTCCCCTGAATCCCCCAACTTCCCTTCAGTGCCTCCTGCATCCCCCCCTCCTGCCCCTGCCTCACATCCCTGTTCCCCCTCACTCTTCCCTTATCTGCTCCTTCCCCTCTTCAGCCTCCCCCTACCCTGCACATGCTGTGAGCTGGTGTCAGTTTCCCTGGACCCCAGGTAAGGATCTCAGCCAGCTCTGCTAGGAGCAGCCTGGGGCATAACCCCCCTCTTGCAGCCTGGGGCACTGCTCCTGGGGAGATGGAGTCTCTCTTACCTGCTCCCAAGTGCTGCCCTCCCTGGGGCAGGGAAGGTTTGGCCAAGCTGGAGGTGCTGCCCTGGGAGAGGCTTCTGGGAAGCAGTGGAAGTGGCCCTGATGGAGATTTCCCCCTTCTGGCTGAAGCCCGTACTTCAGGGTCCAGCAGCAACCCCCACCGGGACTTGAGGATCCACACTGGAGCCAGGCCCCACAATCAGCATGAGCAGTGGCTATGAGTTGCTTCCTGCTGCAGGGGCCAAGCCCAGCCCTGACTCTCAGTGCCCCTGCTCGCCGGTGCTGGGTCCTAGTGAGCAACCTGCGGCACTGCAGCCCCTACCCCGGGTGCCCTCTGCACCTGGGCTCAGGCAGCATCCCCCACATCAAGGCAGCAGCATGCAGAGAAGCCAGTGCAGGGAGAAGAGATTGGGGGTTTCTGAGCATACTGGGCCTTGCTCCAGAGTCCTGCTGTGCTTGGGCGTGGGAGTGGCCTGGCAGTATGCCACAGTCCTTCACCAGTGTGTGGACTGACAATTGGGAACCACAGTTCTTGCTCACTAGTTCAGATCTGGGCTTGGCAAATACCATGGTCTGAAGTAAAATGAGTTGATGGTCTCAATCTCAATTCACAGTTGCCTGCATCTGAGTCAGTGTACTAATGCAATATAGTTCCTTATTTGTAGTTTCATCCGGGGACCAGGATAGAATAGCAACAGAGGCTGAGTCTTTGTTCCTAGAGTTACTATCTTTCGACTAGATTTGAGGTGTGTTTGACCTGGAAGCTTCCATTGATTTGGTCTGTACCTGATTGGTAATAAAAAATTAAATCATCTATTTAATTCCGGTTCCAGTCCTCTTTTTTTTATGTAGTGCTGCAAAATCCAAGCAGTCAAATGGAAGCTTGTTCTTCATGCCAACTGTTGGGATGCCACACTGGAAGAGTCAAATGCTAGTGTAAGCTTAGCAGAGAACTACAGAATGTATTCAGACTGCCATGGGCCTATGCCCACATGTTCTTTACTAGTTACTTTACTGGCCTTTTATTTATGGCTTGGCTTTTTTGTTTTTGTACTGCTATAATGTATCAGCTTGTTTTTTCCCTGTTTTTGTTGCAGATCCTTGTGGAAAATCAGTTTCTTTAAAAAATTCTCTTCTATATTGAATGACTCAAGTGCAGTGTTTGTCAAATGGGAAGTCATAAAAATACTTCTGAAGAAGCAAACAATGCCCTACTTCTTTAACCTAGCCTTAAACTTGTTCACAGTCAAGGTTATTGAAGATTTCTCGTGCTGTTTTACTTAATTAAATTCCTAATTAGTATCACAAAGCAGGTTCCATTACTAAAGTATCATGTATGTCTTTTGTTGGCAGTCCCTGATTTCTTGGGTTGCCTTTCTTTTAACAAGCAATAATATGCACTATAATCCAGTGTGTATACCTCCTTAACGAATCTCCGTTATTATCAGTCTGTAGAGAATAAATTGTGGCCCTACGGTTACCTTGTCTTGAAGTTTGAGATTCTCAAATTTAAAATCTCACTTCCTAGTGTAGGAAATCAGTTCATAATGTAGAAAAGACAGTGATGTGGAACGGCAGTGTAATGCTATCTGGTCCAGTGACACTTCTCCCGCCTCCCTGCACTTTGTTTTGGTTGTATTGGCAATTGTTTGGTTGATAACTATTATTAGATTTCCTTGTGAGTGTACTTCCATATTTTGTTTTCTCATTGGCTCTTTCATTCTCCCCCCTCAAATGTTTAAAGGCTGGCTTTAGTCCTGATTTAGGCTTGTGAATGCATACTTGACTGTGGCCAGATTTTACAGTCAGGTTGACCTATAGTCTTCCTGCATTCAGCTCTTGGGGAAAGAGGCAAAGATGGCTGTAGGTTACTTTTGTGTACCCTGATTCTCGACTGGTTTGATATCAAGCTATTCTCCTCATGCAGGTTAGACCAGACTTGTAGAGGTAGAAATTCAAGCATCAGAGAGACCTGTATTTAGTGCAATGCTGTACTTGAAGAATCAGACCCTTGGAATTTGAGCTCTGAATAAAATGTCACACACAGGAGCACACTGCTTTTGAGACAGTTTTGACTTTCAAAACCTACCTTACCTACCCTATAATTTTTTTAATTACAGTATTTGTGTCCAGTCCAGGTTTATATGTGGTATCCTGCTATAATTGGTCAAAATTGTCTATCAAGCTCTCTAATAGCTCAGTTACTCCAAATGTAATAAAACAGTTGCCATTGCACTTCACTGTTCGTTTGACTTGCTTTTTTGCATGGTACAAATGACCAATACTGTAATCATTAAGTTTCAGGTTTGCTGGCACCTCCCAATATTGCTTCTGGCCTTAGTCACTCAAGTCTTCGGGTATAGACTTTGTGCATTCATAACTGTAGTATCTGAATAAGCAATGGTTCTCATGCCACCTGACGGTTCAGTTTTTGCTTGTCTTGACTCAGTCACAGGTTGACTTTTTCATTTTCAAGTGCATCAATTCTGAATGAAATCACTTGGATTGTGTTAATTTTGGGACAATACTCAATTTCAATTTAAAATGGAAAGTACTATGAATTTCATCAAAGCAAATGCATGCTTTGTAATTCTATTGCATCTTCCCTCTCAGTGCTTGCTTGTTTTTTGAAGCTTATTTGACCTTCAGACTTCCTACATCCATGCAGCTAAGTCTTATTACACATTATGCCTAATGTGTACTTAAAATCCAAGCAGATGCATCAGACCCTTAACTGCTTAATGCATGATTCTCCTCATCTTGATTCATACACTTGCAATGCCCTTTTCTTGGTTTCCTTTTATTATTATTATTATTATTATTATTATTATTTTATTATTAGACAGGATCATCTTGGCCTATGTAAGAATGTTGTTAGATGGACTAGTGTTTTATGGAGTTCTAGCCCAATTTGTCTTTGTATAGTGATCAGTAACACGTTTACAACATCTCAGGAGTTTCTCAGCTAAAGGTAGAATAAATCTTAAACACAGTCTACAAGTGGAATTAATTGCTTGTGTATTGGGTATTAAGGCTAAACATCAGAGTGCATGTGTGATTTCATCCCTTTATTTTGCAGTTTTGAAGTGATTAAAGTTATCCATGGCAAGTTATTGGATATGGTGGGAAAAGTCCAGTAAGTAGTAACACTTTCATCTCATTTCATTGCAGGTATATTACTAGTACTTTGTTCAATATACTATAACAGCTATTCTAAAAGTGGTTCACTTTTTTCACAGAATACCCATTATGCTGGTTGGAAACAAAAAAGACCTGCATATGGAACGGTATGTGACTATCTTAATTTTCAGAAATTATTATATAGTAAGTTCTCTGTTGCAACATCATATGAAAATTGAATTAAAATAGTTACTTTGTGGGAACTAAATTATAGGTACATAGTTTTCCATAGGTAAAAAGTTAGAATTAGTTTGTTAGCTTATGCTAAATTAATCATAAGGTTCTGTGGACTTGAGTATGGGATTGTAACCCAAGAACTACAGGTTGGATCTCCTTAGCCTGGCAACACTGGGACCTGACCAGTCCTGATCAAGAGAATTTGCCAGACTAGGGTAAGTCTCCTGCCATAGGCTTCCAAGCCCATTGCCTATTGTTGGCAGGCTGACCCAGCAGGCACCCTGCCTTGCCTCCTTCTCCCTCCCTCTCCCCACTTACCTGGCTGGGCAACTTGGCCAGCTGCTGCTGGCTCCCTGGGCAGCAGAGGCTCCTACTCCTCCCGCGGGGCTCCCGCCCCGTGCATCCAGGGGCTACTGCAAGGCAGGGCCCCAGCTCTCCACTCTAGCTGTTTGCTGGGGGACTCCAGCCCCACGCTACCATGGGGCTCCATTCTAGCCCCACATTGTGGGGGGGGGCTACTGCAGTGTTCTGGCCTTGCTCTCCAAGAAATTGCTGTAGGACTCTGGTCTTGCGTTGCCATAGGGCTCCAACCTCAGCCCCAAACTCCGACCTGCTGCAGGGCTCCAGCCCAGTGCTGACCCATGCTGCTGGGAGATTCTGGCTCAGCACTGCACTGCCATGGGCTGCTGGAGGCTTCAGCGAGGCTCTGGCCCCGATCTTGTGCTGCCCCCAACCGGGCTGCCAACCCTGTTTCCCCAGCCTAAATGGTCCTCCTGCCCTTAAGCTCCCGGGCTCTCTGGTCCAGGAGCATCCACGGTCTTGCCGGACGACAGATGTTGCCAGACCAGAGTGCTGGTTTTTGGAGGTACAAACCTGTACTGAATTCGAATACTGACTCTTGATTTGGGACAAGTCACTTAACCTGTTTCTTCTATAAAATGGATGTTTCCTTCCTATAAGTGTTGACAATAACTTCAAAGCACTATGTATTATAAAATACAGTACAAATGGAAAGTGTTAAGTATTGCAAGACACACATTTTCCTGCAAGAGGTATATTAAATTGCATAGTGTGTAGTGATGTAGGCAAGTAATTGTAATTGCACAGAAAATGCTTTAACTTGTGAAGAAGTTATCAAACATTCTTTTCTTTGCTGTAGTAATTTATACTGTCTTCAATTTGATCAGGGTGATCAGCTATGAAGAAGGGAAAGCTTTAGCAGAATCCTGGAATGCAGCTTTCTTGGAATCCTCTGCTAAAGAAAATCAGGTAACCAATTATGCATTTTACTACACTGCGTTTTGCTACAGTTTTAAGAGTGGGATTTAGTATCAAAGGCTCTTCAAATGTCTCTCCTTGTTTTCTTTCCATTGCTGTGAAGAACTACAATATACTATGTAGCTGTGTATTGGCAGTCAAAAGTGAAATGAATGCTTGCACTGAAGTCCACGTGTGCAACTTGTCCAAATAGTTGTGTGAGACTTGTAGATGAAATAAGGCTGCTGAAATGAGAAATATGGGACTAAAGGTGTAACTTAAGTGTGTGTGTAAAATGTGTGTTAAAGTGGAATGAGTTAGATTCAGTGTAAACTCACCCTAAATTAAAGTCGTAACAGCTTGATCTTTATCACTACCTTCAAAAACAGGGAATTATTTGTTGTATTCTTAGCAGAAACATACCACTAAAAGGGTGAAAGGATAGCTTTGTGGGTAAGGCACTAGCCAGCCCTTACGTTAGGTTTTTTTTTTCTCCAGGTTCTGCCAGCTTGCTTCCATTCCGTTTGAACTAGGAGTAAGGGTTCCTTGCCTCTCAATCATAAATACTATGGAGGGTCTCCTATACTGATGTGGGTTGTGTTAATGGATGGATAGCCATAATCTGACCAAATATAATCTGGAAACAATGTAAATGTTACCATTGTTTGTAAATGGTAAAGAAATTAGTAGATTTAATTTGATTCTAACCTAATGGTAATCCTTGTTGATGTTAATGAAGCCAAAGCCTGAGCAACTTATCTTTGTGATGTCCCCTTTGCTATGGGGCCTCAGGGAACTGCTCTGATTGCTATCCCCTATTGCCAGCCTTGGCTTTTGTATACAGAAAAACAGCTGTTGGGATGCAGGTGAGCCATGGAGTTTTTGGCATGTTAGGGAAGGACGTCAGAAGAAAGATTGAGAACCAGTAACTTGCATCTTCTTTGTTGCAGACTAAGCCCATCATTTATCCTACTCTGTGGGCATGGGAGACAGTTGATCACTACTAGCTCTTTAGCCTGTACCAGACAGGCTGAAGAGCTTCCATCCAAGCCCTGATGTTGATGGCAGGGATATACAGGCTGCATTCCCAGCCCAATAAGTCAGGCGGGGGGGAATCACCGTGTGGGAGAGGTGTGTTGTTGGAATCTCAGAAAATAGATATGAGCCGCAGGAGGCGGTAGCTCAACTTTGTAGCACAATGGTCACCAACCAGTAGCTCAGGATCTACTGTTAGATATTGGAGCCTCTGACAGGTGATCCTGATGGGTTTGGCCAAGAGGCTGTCAAGTGCTGGTACTTCAGTTGCCACTCCACCCATTGTCATGCTGTTCTTACCCTCTGCTTTGGAGCTGCCCCCTGGAAACCTCCTGCTTGCTGTACAGGGTGTAGGAGGGAGAAAAGGGGGAGGGGCGCTGCATTCCCAGCACAATATCTCTTTATAACAACCCTTACTTTGAGGACTTATGAGGTTTCCTGTCTTCCTCCCTAGTTTTTTTTTTCTTGGGGCGGGGGGGGGCGGGGGGGGGAGACTGGGTGCTTAACCTTTCTTCATAGGTCATGTTTTCTAAACCTTTAATCTTATTCTCCTGCACTCTCCCCAATTTCTCATCCATCTTAAAGGGTAGCACCCATACTTGGACTCAGTACTCCAGCTGAGGCCTCACCAGTGCCAAGTACGGTGGGACAGTTACCTCTCATGCTGCATATGACACTCCTGTTAATACACTCCAGAATATAGCAGCCTTTTTGCAGCTCTGTTGCTTTGATTCTGATTGTTATCCACTGTAATCACTAGATCCTTTTTCAGCAGTTCTGCCCCCATTCTGTAGTCATGCATTTGATTTTTTTTCCTTCCTAAATGTACTACTTTTCACTTGTCTTTACTCTTAAGACCAATTGTCTAACTTGTCACGCTTGCTTTAAATTCAAATACTCTCCTTCAGAGTGCTTGCAACCTCTTCCAGTATATTGTCATCCATACTTTAAGCTGCTTCCCATTCAAGTTGTTTTTTGGAAATCTGTAGTGACCTCCACTAGATATGCCCTCTCAGTTGGATAAAAAGTCACTGATTACTACTCTGAGAGTGTCCTTTCAGCCACTTGTGCACCTTCTTTGTAATTTTTTTATGTGGCCCACATTGCCCTAACCTCACTATGGGTATGTCTAGACTACATGCCTCTGCCGACAGAGGCATGTAGATTAGGCTACCCGACATAGTCAATGACGTGGGGATTTAAATAATCCCTGCTTCATTAAAATAAACATGGTCGCCACGCTGTGCTGACGATCAGCTGATCCGGCACAGCGTGGTAGTCTAGACGCGGACGTGTCAGCTGAGGAAGTTTTGCCGACCGATCCTGTAAATCTCGTTTCACGAGGCATAAGGGATCGGTCAGCAAAGGCTTCCCCAGCCAACAGATCCACATCTAGACTGCCACCTGTGCCGGATCAGCTGATCGTCGGCACAGCGCGGCGGCCATGTTTTTTGGATATTTATGTTGCTTGTTCCAGAAATCTTCATCCACCTCCCCTTGCTAATGTGGAAGTTTCATTAGACCCATACTGCACTGTCATCCCTATATTCTCCCCCCCCCCTTTTTTTTTTTTTTTTTTTTTTTTCCAGAAATGCCTCTGTGTGTGTCCTCCTTCTGGACTCAAACAAGGTACATATTCTTGGTAGTTAATGCAACAGCACCTCCCTTTTTTCCTCCTGCCTGAACTAGCATTACCCCGTATACCAATAGTCCAGGCTTATCTCACCAAGTCTGATGCCAGTTGTCATAAGCTAAATTATGTACTAATTCTTCCAGTTCATTTCTCATACTCCTTGCATTTGGACATGGGAAATCTGCTTAATTTAGATGTCTCACTGATTTTCTTGTTACACCTATGACCCTATTGTAATTTTCTGTGTCTGCTCCTCTACCCCAAAATCGAGACCTTTTTTGATGGTGTTTTTATTATTACATATGAGTTTGTCACCTGCCTCCTTTGAACCTAGTTTCAGGTCCTCACTATCTTCATGCACTTCTTGATCAGACTGACCCCATCTCTTCCTAACAGCCCTCCTTTTCAAACACTCCATTGTTGAGGAAGCCAAAGCTCTCCCATCGACGACATCTTGTGCAGCCAGACATTTATCTGCTGGATGTGCTTGTCCCTATCTGGTCCATCCTCCTGGTTGAGGGTTGGATCAAGATCACAACCTGCACTCCCTACTCCATCACCCTTGCTCTCACACCCCCATAGTCGCTTCTGATCTTCTCTAGGTGATATGTAGTATTATTTAATGCCCACGTGGATGAGTCATAATGAGGCTCACCCATACCTCTACCCCACCTTTCTGTAATGTCCCTGATGAGGGCTTCAGGCAAGTAGCTCACCTCCTGGGACTTCATGTAAGGCCAGCAGATAGATGCCTCTCTCTCCTCAGGAGAGAGACCCTGGCCATTGTCACCATTAATTGAGGTCTGCTTCTTACCACCTGTTGCCATACAGTATACTGGTTTTTGACATCTGTCCCGTCACTGGCTAGCATCCTCCATCATGTCCTGTCAAAATCCTTGTGCTCACAAATGCTACAGCAGTGGTCTCCAATCTTTTTAACCACAGGATCCCTTTAAGTGCAATGTAAGATCTACTTTAAACCCAAATACACTTGCTGCACTTCCTTCCTGCCCCTTCTTGAGGCCCTGCCGCTGCTCCACCCCTTCTCCGAGGCCTCATCCTGCTCACTACATCTCCCTGCCTCCCCCATCCTCATTCACTTTCACCAGGCTGAGGTAGAGGTTTAGGGTGCAGACTCTGGTCTTGTGCCAAGGGGTTCAGCGTGTGGGAGGGGCTCTGGGCTTAGCCCAGGGTGGAGGATTGGGGTCCAGGAGTGGGGGTTCAGGGTACAAGTTCTAGGAGGAATTTGGGTGCAGTATTGGGCAGGAGGTTGGGTGGAGGAGGAGGTTCAGGGCTGGGACAGGGGTTCAGGATGCAGGCTCTGGCTTGCACCATTTGAGATGGCTTCCAGGTGGTGGAGCAGTGGGGTTAAGGCAGGCTTACTCCTGCCCTGGCCCTGTACCACTCCTGAAAGCAGTTGGCATGTACAGCAGTGGCTCCAATGGCACCATGTGCTGTCCCCCATCTACAGGCACTGAGCCCACAGCTTCTACTGGCCATGGCTCCCTATTATTGATCAATGGGAACTGCAGGAGTGGTGTCTGCAGGCAAGGACAGCATGTGGAGATCCCCTGCTCTGCCATTCTCATAGGCTGCAGGGACCTACCAGCCATTTCCAGGAGCTGCAATTACCATCCAGATAATTACTCCAGCCATGACAGGTTTGACATTTTAGAACTCACTATTCAGAGAATTAAACTGCAGATTTTGTCCATCTCAGCTGGTCTACTTAAGATTCCAGTACGGTATGGCAGTGGGTAGAAAAAGCATCTGAAGCTGTAATTCCCTGCTGTACCTGTACAGGCAGCATCTAGGACTGCCTATAGGTACTGGTTTCTGAGGTGGCTTCTTGAGCCCACTTCCAAATGACCGCTGCACTTACTTGGAGCTACAGTCATAACTCTGAAGTAGATCTCCAGTTGTAGTTACATGAATCTAGGGTGGTGATTGCAGAAGAGCCCGAAGAAATGTGCCCATGGAACCAAGCTTGAAATACCTTACTTTGTGTCTGAAGTCCAGAAGTCCAGCTACATTTTCTTAGCTTTTTGTTTCATGTCACATTCTTTTCCTTCCTTTTCCTCCTCTTCTGGAAGGTGTAAAATGCCCTTCTACCAAAATACATTAGAAGTTTATAAGGCAAAAACACAAATTAATCTATCTAGATCAGCAGTTCTCAAACTTCATTGCACCGTGACTCCCTTCTAACTCATTACTACATCACTCCAGAACGGGGAACTGAAGCCTTCACCAGTCCCAGCCCTGCCACTCTGGGGGGCCCAAAACCAAAGCCTGAGCCCCACCATTACTGGTGATGGGGGGCCAAAGCCATAGCCCAAGGGCTTAA